AGTTCGTCCAAAAAGCATGTGTTTTGCTTACTGAGAAACTCCACCTACTTCTGCATTCGAAAGCGCAATTACAAAAAATGCAGCCATGCAGCGGTTGACCACGGCTGGGCTATGCCCTATTGGAAATGGAATTTTTTAGCACGATTTTGGAAGCCGTTGAAGAACCTTCTTCACCCTTTGACCTGCGTACATTGCGCATTTTTTCTTTTCTCATTAATTATGGTTAACCTATCAAGAATCCGAATAGTACGAGTAATACTACAGGTTAGCAATTAATATATGCTTCAAAAAAGAAAATAAAATAAATCCAAAAACCTAATCACATAATCGGAACTCAAGATAAAGAGAGGAAGGAAATTAGACTTAGATCCTGGTCTGCACAGCTAAGTGGTGCGCCTCGTGTGCCACACCAACCGTCGTGAGTCAAGTGCCCGATTCACGTTCATCCAACAGATTTTGGAATTCTTTCCCAAAACCTGTGTCATGGTTTCCAGGATTAGTACCTCAAGAGGAATCAGCAGACTAAACAAAGATGATACTCAAGGCCCATAAGATCTGGTTAAAATGCTCGCCATTGCCGTATTGGTTCATTCGTCGAAGTTAACCAGATATAACTACATAAAAAGAAGATTGACTATGCATTGGGTTGTTTCCAAAATATCTAATCCGGAACTAAAGCTGGGCCTAAACGCAACCCAAAAATCGAAGTGTGAGTCAAGTATTTCCAGACCGTCTACATTTGGAGCACTCAACAATTTATTTCTGAAAAGGGAACACTGAACGAAAAGATTTTCAACCGACAACATTACGACGGCATGAATTTTGAGATGACTGCTCAACGAGGAAGGTAGATTCCTGCCAACCACATCATTAAAACCGCCTCGATTACCACACCACAACACGTGTACGTCGCAAGCGGAGAGTAGGAATACACGCAATATTAATATATGCTTCAAAAAAGAAAATAAATAGAAATAGGTACATTCTACTACTGCGTGCTATGGCACGCGAACACTAACTAATAAGCAAAAGTCACACTTTGAAAGAAAAACAATTTCACATGATCTGGATGAAACATGACCATTCACTTAGTATAAAAACAATGAAAATTGATTAGCAGAAGAGATTTTTTCTCGAAGCAAACACGAAATAAACTGATTTATGAAGTAAGAGTATCAGGTAAAACTTCGGCACACATAGTGGCGTCACAGCTCGACTAACAGCATCGGGTCATGACCTCGCATACGCTTGCCCTCAATGATATCGGCACTCCACATCGCCATTCTCTCAATAACGATGGCGACTAAAACACTAACATGAGAAAGAAACACCGTATGGAGAATACAATTCCAATAAAGGTTTCATGCAAAAAATATGAACTTATACCCAACATTTTCTGTTAGAAAGTCGAAATCTTGAAGTCAAGCAATGCAATTTCAGAAGATTTCGCAGTAACAAATATAATATAAAACTTCTCAAAAGGATAAGGATAGGGCGCCAAACATGCTTAAAACGCAACCACGCACGACTACCGTTCTGAAGTTCTTTGCCATTTAACACCTACTCAGCCAACTCGCCTGACTTAACCACAAGTCTGCGCATACCAAAGGTGATGAGTAAAACCGGAGATGCCTGACATAAAATATAGAACGATCACAAATCCACTTAAATGAAGCCTTACATGTATACATTTGAGAACTTTCACACACCACTTTCACTACCAAAACTTTCACACATGACCCAAACAGTTTCGAGGATCACACACAAACAGGATCGACGCCAAAAGTTCATTCACATCCTTCTGCCAACACAGAAAGAAGCTCCACGTACATTCAAGCGGTGATGTCAAGCGGAACTAACCGTAGAGTTCTGCGAGTGATGGGAGGATACGCCCAGGTCCAAGGCTATTTACACAAAACTCTGCAGTATTTTCCAGAGAATTCACAGTTAGTCATCCTCCCACTTTCTGGACCCTCTGATGACTAATGCTTACGCTATGAGGATCATAATTTTGTTGATCATTCTACTACAATGTTTGAAAGAGGAACATCACTGTCGAAAACTAGCAATTCATGATTATTTTTTCATGCAGAATCACCTGAGATCTGAGAAATCCACTACCGTAGAAATTATGCGCCCAGTTGCCTCGGCTCAATTTCAGCTGGACCTTGTGTCGCTGCAACATACTGAGAATGGGGTGCTAGTCTTAAGATCTGAGACGCCTCATGGGATTCCGTTCTTTTCATGCAAAATTCACGTCAGTACACTGTATAGCTGACTCACGACAGAGGACGCGTTACCTCAGCAATGACATCAAATTGGTCACCTTATGATGCATGCGATTTCAAAATGCTCACACATTAGTAATCCTTTAGCAACGTGACTATATAATGTTAAGAAAGTGCTATAAGAAACATATGTTTCGAAACCTATGTAGTCACGGTTTTCTTTTCACAAGCACCAGAGGGAAAGGTAGATTCACTGCTGATGCTAAGCGTCGTTGAGTAGAAATCTCATGCGAAACTTTCATCGAAACATCATTCTAGATCAAGCAACGCGTTAGGTATATCTAGAAATGCCGTGAAATGATCTCGCATGACATTCCGCTTTTCGCATTCTTGCCTACCTGCTATCTATTCAATTTTTTCATGATTTAAAAACGCAGTATGAGATTGATGTCAAGTAAGCTACATTAGGCTGCTTTCATAGATTGCGCCGTCCGCGGACCATGAAAGCAGAATTAGGCCTACTGTTTAATGAAACTGACATCACAACGCTCAACCAAAGTTCGAGAGATCTAAAGAAAAGCTACGATACCGCTGATACCACTGGAATGTAACGTTGTGATGCTAAATGGCGTCTGTAAAGAAGAAAAAAAACAAGCAAAATGGTCAAACACCCAAGAAAAGCCACCCTCTTCTCCCTCTGATTTCAACTTTGGACGAATTAGCTACGACTGCAGGCGCTTTGGTTGCAGCCGTAAAAACTTGTTTTTTGTAATCACACATACGATATTCATATG